CCCCAAAACCCCAAAACCCCAAAACCCCAAAACCCCAAAACCCCTTTTTTACGAGTCCATATTGAATAATAAGAAATTATTTATATTGATACTGCTTGCTACTTAGAGATCTAGTGTAATTACAAGTTAAGAATGGACAGAAGAAATATATCAGCATCAATCTCAGCTCAGAACTTGATGAGCAGTCGAATTTCACATCCTTTCAGAGAGGATGCTAACTTTCGAGATTCTCGGAATAGTTCTGAATTCCGAAACTTAAAGCACAAGTCTCAAAGGAAAACTAAATATCAAAGTTATTCACCCTCTGAGCCAATCGTGCTTTATTCAAGGTCACAAGACGAAGATTCGTTACAAGATATGATATCCCGAGATCAAAGGAATTCTGATAAATATCTTACGAGTAGGAAATCAAAATTTAAAAAGCAAAATTACATTGATGAATCTGACCCATCTTCAGATTCAGTAAGCAATGTGTCATCAGACAGCGCTATTATCATAATGGCAGAGGAAAGCGAGAGTGAGAAGGAAAGAAAAAGAAAATAAGAAGCAAAAGCCAAATAGAAGGGCTAAAAGTATTGAAACTCAATTTTTCATGAATTCACCAGGTTATGTACCTCAAAGAAACTTTATGCCATCAATGATACCCCAAATGGCTGGGAACATGCCAGGATCTTCCATGGGGACTCCTATGCCAGGTCAAATGCCTTTCATGCCAACTCCATTCCCGTACTCCAACCAAGGGGGATTCACACCTTATAATGGATTTCCAGCACAAAATCCTTATCAGCTTGGAACTCCAGATCCATATAGCATAAATGCAATGAATTTGGTTGATTCTTTCAATAGAAGTGCAGCCTTCCATTCTCTTGCCTCTTCATCAAACACCAAAAAGTATGCTTATCCCTAAAGTTCCTTGCTCCAATTTCACTCAGAATGGTCAGCATCCCTTGACTCAGAGATTTCCTTCGTACAATATGAAATCGGAGGTAGCAGTGCCCCCTTCTAGCCCTTCGTAATTTTTCTTCTAAATAACTTAACTCAGAAGGACTGGTATCCTAACTCTAAAAGCTTGGTTCAACATGAATAGGCTGATGAGGGGTTTTGGGGTTTTGGGGTTTTGGGGTTTTGGGG